TTTGCGGATACAGACTAACACGGCTGCTACTCTGAAATCTGAAAGTAGTACATATAGGAATTATGGCTCCATCTAGTGGCAGAAAGTAACCCGTTTACGTATGACCAAGAATGGACCTCAAACTCAGTTGTCCTTTGCTGAATCAAGGAGCTTTCCTTACAACATGCAGCTTTCAAAATGTCTTCTATATATGTTAAAAGGTCAAGATTGTAAGCTCTTTGGCGCAGGGAACTTCATTTTTGTTGTGTGTTTATATAGCACCTAACACAATGGGGTCCTGGTCCATGACTGGGGGTCCTCAGCGCTAGTGCAATACAACTAATTAATCATAATAATAATAATATTTTATAACATGACGTTAAATTTAGTTGTAGTGTGCTTCTGAAGGGGTAGCAAGTATTTACACGTTTCTTTGACAGCTCATGCTGTCCCCCAGTAGATTTTGATACACTTACTTTGATGTAAATGTGTGGCTATATAAAAACATTGACTGCTAACATGAAGATACTAAATTAGGATGCTACTGTATAGCCAGAAAATAAGCCTATGTAAAGTTATTGTGGTAGGACTGCCTAACTAGGGGAAATAGTGTTTGGATTTGTCTCTCTTCCCACTCTTTCCTCTCAACCCTTGATGTCGAGGCGAACTGGCAAGTGATTTTTGACTACAGGAACGCTCACACTCCTAGCAGGGAAAAAAAATGACAAAAAAGGATTCTTGGTGGTGAGGGAAAATCCATACTACAAATGATTAGTGACAGAGAAAAAATGTCCCAGTTAAAACATCCTGATTCAGGACTGAGTAGTGTTATGAATTGGAAAAGAACAGGTCCGGCGTCTGACAGTGCTGGCAGATGGGAAGAAGTGTGTGAAAATTGTTTGTAAATAACAGAATGATTGTGAAAGAAAGAGAAGTTCCAGGCAGCCTTCCATGAAGTTAAATGATTTGAAAAGGTTATCCAGCCGTGTTCTGGAGCAGGAAAAGGAGTATGGAAGCAGCTTGCTATCAACTGATCTAAAACTAATACTTGGGAGAAAATAACAGAGATGGCCATGACTCAGAGATTCTTCATCATTATGTTTTAATCTTATGGATGCACTTATACAAGGAATCTTGGGATGAAGGTTCACAGAAAATTCCAGAACAACTACGTTCCTTTAGCAGAGTTGGTGAGTGAGGGAAAACAGCTTCACTGAGTCTGATTCTGCTCTCACACCATTTTTTTACTGGTGTGATTCCATTAGTTTCAGTGGTGCCACCCCTTACGTGTAAATCAGAATAGAATCAGTCTCTCGCTTATTCCTCCTCTCACCTCTCTTTCGTCAGCCTTGATTGTTTCCCATATCTACACAGTTACAGCACATAGGAACCTTGCCACTTACAATACACACTGTTGGGGAAAAAAACACAAATAATTTAAATCAGTATCACTGATTTCTTCCTTATCATGGATAATCCACCTTTGATTAGGGCAGAAAAAGCTATCTGAGTCCCACAGAGGATGTCTTCAGGAATTGTCATGAGCAAACCTGTGAAGATACATGCTCCGCTATGAGTTGGTTCTTAGGCTCAGAAACTCCAAATGATTTAAGTCAGAAACAACCTGCAAAACCCAAAAGAGTAAAAGCTCACTAATTTTTTAAAAAATAGATATATCTTATATGTTTTTAGACTTGTACTGCCGAACTCACCCAAGCATGGTAAGGGTGTCTTATATACTCTCTTCTGCCTGAGATTTTGTTACCCCACAGTTTCTGAGCCATCTTCCACTTCTCTCAGACAGTGAGACTATCTGAAACGGAAGTGGCATGCAGTCAAAATACCGTATTTTTCAATCTGGCAGGTGCAGCACTGTTAATGTAATGTGCCAGAATAGTGCATATTATTCATGATTCTCATATAGACAATGGAAAGCTACAACACGTCAAGGATATCTAACTATGAAAGGGTTCAGTTATCAGTGTGATCTTCCCAGCCATCTGCGCTAACACAAAGGTGAAGTAAAAACTGAATACTGAGTAACTCCTATAGGTGGACATCCACCTAGTTCACCAGTATCCTAACCAGATGCTATTTTCACTAAATCTGACACATTCCCCTTCATATTATACCCAGTTTTGCTTTAAGCCCCTGGCTTTACTATGTGCTTTATCTAAGAAGTGAGTTGTGCTCCTTCCTTTCAATGTCCAGCTGCAGACAGCCTCATTCTGTACTTAAAGATCTCAAACCTTTAAACCTATCAATAGCTTAAACCATTTCTTGAGATATACCTCCTTTGCAGCGTTTCAGTGATGTGAGACTAAGTATCAGAAATGTGCTATAGAGTATTGTTTGTTGATGAACCCACATCAGAAGAAACCATCACTGATAATGGCCTTTCTAATGGTGCTCACTTTAAGGAAGAAACTTATGCAACAGAGTTCACTCGTGACTTATTTGTTGACCAGCAACCTTTGGAAATTTGAACTTCTAGGGTACAATCAACAAACAAAATCTCAAACTACTAGAACTGAAGCTGACAAATGAAAGGAGTAGTCTGCTGCTACTGGTAAAGAACAGAAGCAAACGTGAGACATTTTCTTTGCAAGAGAATGATGTAACGATTTTAGAAGCACTTGAATACTTATAAAAAAAAATATCCCTGGTCTTCCACTAACCTGCCTTGTCTTGGCAGTTTAACCTCTTGGAGCAGTGAAAAAAACACAGGACCTCCCATCTTCTCCTCTGAAATAACTCCTTGATTTTCCAGAGAGAGGTTTTAAAATCTGTCTGACAAGTGTGGTTGCAAATCAACTTTTTAGGTTGATAATGGCTAAAACACTCCATATGCAGATTAAAGACTTTTCAAAACCAAGCCTTTTGATGGTTCTTGTAATACAGGTGGCTAGTTTCATGGGTACCTACACTGGTAAGAGGACTTAGGACCCTGCAGGGAAATGGTGGCTGATAGTTGCTGACTGACTGTGACAGGTGTGGCTCATTAACTCCACCATGATATAAGCGAGTGGCTCTTTGGGCAGAGAAAATTGGGGTCGAGGATGGAGAAATCTTTGCAGGGAACCTTGGGAGGAGCCAAGTTTAGGACGAAAGCTTCGGTTGAAGTTTATTTTAGTTATGTGTTACTGGAGTTGCCAAACCCCATAAGTCTGGACATAATACAATGGGCCAAACCCTCAGGTTGTCTAAATCAAAGTAGCTTCGATGGAGCTAAACCAGATTACATCAGCTGCGCGTTTGGCCCAGCAAATGTAGTTCTAAGATCTAGAGGCAGGGGCTGTGTCTTTGTTTTCTACAGCACAGATCAGGCTTTCAGTGCATTTCCAACACTGAATAATAAGCTTTCCAATCGGTATATCTGAGCATTTCATTTTGCAGGAGCCAGATATAACTTATTCCATCTGTGGTGAGATATTTCAGAAGGTAGACAGAGAGCATGAATAAAGAGAGCATGGCTCCTTCTCACCTTGATACAGAATAAAACCACTGCAAAATCTAAAAGCTTTGCCTGCTGGGGTGGTGCATAGGTCTGTAAGCTGACTTACCCAGCTACCTGAGAATCTCTCTGGCATAAGAGGAAATCCTCAGGTGGTACTGATTGGGGGGCGGGGGAGGCCATGGCTGGCGCACCTACTGGTCCCTGGGTAGCCAGGCATAAATTACATCAGCCTGGGGACTTGAGGAACCATAAGGGTGCCATAAAGCCACCTTAGTTACCCCTTGCCTCCAGTGCATCAAGTGCATCTCAGCCAAATCAGGAGTTAGGGCTGTGATCCTAAGGACATCTGTTACACTGACAGATCCCGGTCATCTGCGGGCAGGATTGAACCTGGGACCTCTGGAGCTTAGTGCATGAGCCAAAAGCCACCTGGCTGTTAGCTAAGGCTATAGAGCAGACTCAGTCTCTCTCTCTCTCTAAGTGGTCTTGGTGCCACTAGATGGGACAGAACACCGCACTCAGAAGGTGTGTAGATTACACATCCACAAATATTTTAAATATTTCATCCATGACAGTTAAACCACAGGCAATTTAGGGGCGTCTCTGGGGGGGGAGGAAGGGGCTGGAGGGATGGTGCAGTCCAAGAACTATGATCCCTGGTTGGCATAAGGAGCCCCTTGTGGGCCATTATCAGCTGGTGCTAGTTAGAGCTCCTAGCCAGCCCCAGAATTGGAGAACGTAATGGTGGTGTCTAGCTTGGCCAGATCTGAAGAGCAAGTCTTTGGAGTTTTCAAAGGGTATTCAGTAAGTCAGTGCAAGATTTGGTTCTAGCACTTGAATATAGCGATATTTGGTCTGACAGAGTACACTCCTTCTGAAGGCGTGCCCACAGAGTACTGGGAATGGCTATTTTTTTAAATAGGCTCCCTTGTCTTATCACAAAGATTTCACTGCTCTTCCAGCTCTCCTTGCAGTAAAGTGGTGTTTGAAAAAAAACAGTATTGTCAATGCAAAGAATTAAATACGTTAATTTTAGGCCAGATAAACAGAGTGATGTAGGGCTCACTAGTAGTTTCACAAGTTATTTCTCATCTGAATGCACACGCATCCTGCAGTTTTTATGGTGAGTGACACAGTGCGTCTGTGAGTATTTGTCTTTGTTTTTACAAGGGTATTCTAGGTGTACCTTCGATCACACTTTATTTAAAAATTCAGGTTGTTGCCTCCAAGAATATTTTTAATGGCATTTTAGGGAAAACAATGTATTTGAGACCAAAATCCATCCTGCAATGTAGTTCAACAAGTGACAGGCTAAAATGTAGATTATTTCATTGGAGAGTTAATGTCAACTAATGCTGAACTATCTCGTTTTCTTGCCAACAGGAAGATTCGTCAGACTGTGGTGGGGTCTCTGGACTGAGCCCACCACTCTGGTCTATGATAGGAATCCAGTTTGTCCTGCTTTGGCTGTTATCTGGCAGCAGACATGGCCAGTTATGACCCTGTGAAACCAAAACCTGCATAACTAATCAAGACCCTGCCAAAACGTTAGCCCTCACTTTCATTATCAAAGGGTCAGCTATTCAGACAGCAGAAGAACAGCAATGCCCATAACTTGGTATCAGTCTATGTGAAAGATTCATAAAGGCACCCACAGTGGCTGCATGTTGGAGTGTCAGATCGTTAAACATGTGTGAATGCTGCATCATCTCTGCCATCAGAACAGAATTCTATATGTGCTTTATTGAGGAATCTAAGATTTTTGTGTTCATTGTTGTATCGTTGATGACTTCATGTAAAAGGGCTCCCCTTAAAATAGCTTATGTATGATATGATTTCCATTTATTTTGATCTTAGCATTGAATTTGTTGCAGACCCTATATGCTTTTACATGAACACTTGTGAAATCACATTTCTTTAACCCTCCTCTTTTATTGTATTAATACCATTACAGCTGCTTTGAACATCAGTTGTGTTCAGAATATAAATAGTTGGCAGACTTCAGTTCGTACAAAACAGCTTAGTGAATTGAAACTATCGGCTAGTCTTCTCCAGAAGTTCACCAAGACTGAAATGCCTTACAATGAGTGGTTTATTCTGCCAAAATTAATCAAAACAGGTGGCTAGCTAAGTTTTGGTAGGTTCATAAACTGTTGGTTTTAAAATAAAACAAAACAAAAAAGCAAGCAAGAAGCTACTGAATTTTGAAATATAAAGGTGTTTGAGAGTAACCAAGTGATTTTTTCCTCCTGAACTCGGTGTCATGTCCCTTTCAGAAAGCTGTTAATTTCCATGTAATGATCAGTGCTCTCTTCGCAGTGCAGTTACGTAACGCTAGCCAAATCCTTCAAAATGCTCAAATGAAAAAGCTTGTGAATACAAAATGTCTTTGTGATTATTGAACGTTGGTTTCCAAGGGTATTTTGCATGATGATGCTGCTACTTTATTGTTTTTAAGTTTGTTTTCTTGAATGGTAGAGTATAGTCCATTGAAAAGGTAACTGAGTGATTCTTTTGTTGTGTGAGAAACTGAACATTGCAATGTGATGCAATTAAATAATCTTAAATTATATTGTTAAACAGAGCTCTGAATATACTGTGCAATGAAAAAGCTAAGAAAGTAGCGTACATTTAGTTGGCTGGACAAAAGGGATGAGATGGATTTTATACAGATTAGTGCTCTCACATGAAAACCTATGTACAGATATTTTAAGTATATAAAAATCAGATTTGACACATTTATTTTTGAAGAGTATATGTTGTTCTGAGATTTATGCCAGGTTCCCCTTTTGTTTTCATGGCATGGTAGCACCCCTTAATGTTTAAACTCCTATTATTGCTATTTTATATTGAATATAGCAAGCTTAATAGAGCAAGATTTCCTGGCTGCTGAAATTAGAACGAAATCCGAACAAATGGGGAGCCTTGAATCTATATGTATGCACATTGATACTTGATTGTGAATAACAATAAAAAAACAATTGTTTTATACAAACTTGTTGGTGATACAAATTGGTGCAGTAAATTATAATATTACACTGTAGAATAGTGTACATGCAAAATATGATTTGCGCTTTTTTCTAGTTTTCAGAACTAAACAGTATTGCAAGACAGCTAAACCAATGAATGTGCAACTCTGCTGACATTGTGCAATTCTGCTAACAGCTGCAATATGGTAATATTTACATGGTACAATACATTTGTTCTTTAAAAAAATGAAAATGCAAAGCGTTGGTATGTATATGCTGGCAAATGACTACTATAATCTTGAACATGTCAAAAGCTTACAGAAATTATTAGGCATGCATCAATATGCCATGAAAATTGAAGAAGCCACTCAAACCTATGGCATGGCTTACAAGATGAAATGACTACATGTAGATGTGCCTATGATTAGTTGTTTGTTTTTCACATTACCCTTGGTTCCAGCTGTGTATGTTCCCATGTTTAGGATTACAGTGCTGGCAGAGGGAACCTATTAATTATCACAATTAATGGTTTAATATCTCTAGGAAAGTCATCTGATTAAACGTACAATTGACTGAGTTTGGTGGATCCAGTTCTTCCCTAGTGAAGAGGAGCTGATTTCAGCAACATGGGGAGAGGATAAGTGGGGAATTTTCCCCGCCAGTAGTGTTGCTCGTAGGGCTGTGAAGCAATTTAAAAAATTTATCACGATTAATCACGCGATTAAAAAAATTATTCATGATTAATCGCACTGTTAAATAATTATAGAATATGATTTATTTACATATTTTTGGATGGTGTCTACATTTTCAAATATATTGATTTAAATTACAACACAGACTACAAAGTGTACAGTGCTCACTTTATATTTATTTTTGATTACAAATGTTTGCATTGTAAAAAACAAAAGAAATAGTACTTTTCAATTCACCTAATATAAGTACTGTATTGCAATCTCTTTATCATGAAAGTTGAACTTACAAATGTAGAATCGTGTACAAAAAAGACCTGCATTCAAAAACAAAGCAATGTCAAATTTTAGAGCCTGCAAGTCCTCTCAGTCATACTTCTTGTTCAGCCAATCACTCAGACAAACAAGTTTATTTATGTTTGGAGGAGATAATGCTGCACGCTTCTTGTTTACAGTGTCACCTGAAAGTGAGAACAGGCGTTTTCATGGCACTGTTGTAGACAGCGTCGCAAGATATTACATGCCAGATGTGCTAAAGATTCATATGTCCCTTCATTCTTCAACCACCATTCCATGGGACATGCGTCCATGCTCATGACTGTTTCTGCTCAATAACAATCCAAAGCAGCTTTCTTTTTTGGTGGTTTGGGTACTGTAGTTTCCACACCAGAGTGTTGCTCTTTTAAGACTTCTGAAAGCATGCTCCACACCTCATACCTTTCAGATTTTGGAAGGCACTTGGGTCGAGTGCTGTAGCTGTCTTTAGAAATGTCACATTGGTACCTTCTTTGTGTTCTGTAAAATCTGCAGTGAAAGTGTTCTTAAAATTAATAACGTGCTGAGTCATCATCCGAGACTGCTATAACATGAAATATATGGCAGAATGCGCGTAAAACAGAGCAGGGGACATACAGTTCTCCCCCAAGGAGTTCAGTCACAAATTTAATTAACACTTTTTTTTTTAACTAAGCGTGATCAGCATGGAAGCATATCCTCTGGAATGGTAGCCAAAGCATGCAGGGGCATATGAATGTTTAGCATATCTGGCACGTAAATACCTTACAATGCCAGCTACAAAAGTGTCATGCAAATGCCCGTTCTCACTTTCAGGTGACATTGTAAATAAGAAGCGAGCAGCATTATCTCCTGTAAATATAAACAGACTTGTTTGTCATAGGGATTTACTGAACAAGAAGTAGGACTGAGTGGACTTGTAGGCTCTAAAGTTTTACATTGTTTTGGTTTTGAGTGCAGTTATGTAACAAAAAAAATTTCTACATTTGTAAGTTGCACTTTCATAACAAAGAGATTGCACTACAGTACTTGTATGAGGTGAACTGAGAAAATACTATTTCTTTTGTTTATATTACAGTGCAAATATTTATAGTCAAAAATCATATACACTTTGATTTCAATTACAACCCAGAATACAATGTATATGAAAATGTAGAAAAACATCCAAAATATGTAATAAATTTCAACTGGTATTTTATTGTTTAACAGTGTGATTAAAACTGTGATTAATCGCGATTAATATTTTTAATTGTGATTAATTTTTTTGAGTTAATCACATGAGTTAACTGTGATTAATTGACAGCCTTAGTTGCTGGAGTTCCTTTCACTCTCTCCATGCCTGCTCTCCAAATGAAAAATGTCAGCTGTAGTTTGTTGATCAATTCTATCTAGAATTCCATTCTACAATCCGCTACATGCTGCCAATGAGAATGCTCTTGGAAGGAAGGGGTTTGTCAGATGGGAGCAATATTTATTATATTTAGGATTTTAAAACTCAGCTTACTAAGACTACCTATTAGTTTGTATTTTGCTTTTTTAATTACTTGAAAGGTTATAAGAATATTAAGTGCTATATGTTTAAATATTTCCACTTAGTTTCCCAGAAGAAAAGCCTTCATGGAAAAGTATGATGCTTACACTTCCCAAATAATGTGGAGTGTATGTGTCTATACTAGGTTTGCTAACAGAGATGGGTCAAATCCCATGTTACTTACTGAGGCCTTGATTGTGCCTGGTCGGCATAGCCCACAGAAATGAATGGTGCAGAGCCACATTGCTCCCAGAAGGCATACCACCAGCCTCTACCTCCTCCCTGTCACCTTTGGGCTTCATGCAATCCTGGGAAGTAGGCGGGAAGTAGCACTGGCACCTCAAAGGGACTAGAGTTCTTCCCGGCCCTCACACAGCCACGCTACTTGTTCCACCCTCCAAATACAGATCTGCATACAGGCCTTTCCCAAGGGAACTCTGATTGGCTATGGGTGGGATTATCAAAAATGCCTAATGATTTAACAGCTCAAGTCCCACTGAAAGTCAATAGGACTTGTGCTCCTAAGTCACATAGATGCTTTAGAAAATCCCATTCTGTACAAGTACATTTTTCTTCCACAGAAGTTCTGCCTGTGTGGTGACAGATTGAAAACTCAGGATTTGGCCCAACTATTGTTTTTCATAAAGCTTAATATTTTTAAGATTAAAAAAATTGAATTTTTTGCTGCTGTTTGCAGAGAACTAGGTATTTTCTGATTGTATGCAAATGACATCCAATTATTTAAGGTTCAAAAATGCACTATATAAATAGATTTTTTGTCAGAAGAGCAAACACAACATTGTGAACATTATCTACATCATAAATTCTAACTCTCACATAGTAGACTTGTTTGTTAGAAAAAACCCTCAATCCTAGCCTTTAAAATGGAGAGATATTAAAGTTATAATATCTTGTAAAAACAGTTTGCATTTTTTTAGTTACCAAATAATAAGTTGTGTTTATATTTGTTTTAAAGCCTTTAAACAGCACTAAGGGATCTAGACAAGCTGCTTGAACTGTTTTAATTCACATTGTAGTCACACAGCCTATTGTATATCTGACAGTTAACCACAGTTCAAGTCATTATAGCACTGTACTAACAAACAAAAAGGTATAAGGACTTAACATGAATGGTTTCTTTCTTATTTTTCATTTGAACAACCAGCATTACTGCCAAAACACTGACTGTGGTTCATATTTCTAACAGGTTTTTACATGACATAGTTAGCAAGTTTGAGTGAAGAGATTTTTAGGTCCTGTACCTTTAAGACTTTAATATAATCTTTTTCATGTTTCTAATGCTTGAGGCTTTATCGCTTAACTTGACAATAACAGTGTTGCTGCCATTTGTAAGTTTTCCTATAATATTCCTTTTACTAACTTTAAATACTGGCCTTACTGGGTTCAAATAGGCAGTATCCCTTTTAAGTGACCTTTGCAACCCAAGTGTTACTTGCTGTGTTTGACAGTTTTCAATATCTTTTAAAGGACATTGAGACTCTTTGTTCTCCTTTACATTGAAGCTCAGAAAACTTAAATATTATTTTGTCTTAATTTCAAAACACTGCATTAATCCCACTAGTCCTGCAAATTCAGATGCTAACCCTGCTGGTAATTCAGAATTCCAGTAATGTTGGCAAGCCACTGCAGAAAGCTCTGTGAAGTTTTTTAGAAAGTCTACCGAAGACTAAATGTCAGTAAACCCTTTTGGAGTATAAAGCTTTACCCTAAACCTTCATCTGACATCCAGACCTTTAGCAAAGGCCACATTTCTTTTTTGTTTCTTTTTCCATACCACAGTGTTAATATTGTTAATATTCAATGTACACTACTGTAAAAAAACCTACAACAAAGAGTATGAAAATAATTCCAGAGTTTCAAAAAATTGGCTTTGCCCTCTTACCAGCATTTCTGTTGGGTTTTTTTTTAAAAGGATTATCTTGAAGAAATAATTTCACTGAGGCTAAAGGGATACTGTCTTGTTCAGATGCCATGAATTTGCGATTGTGATCTGACAAAGCTCTCTTCTCTTCTTGTGTTGTATGGAATGTCTGGCTCATGCTTTCTGGAATATTTTTATTGAGATGCTTACTGTGCGTTCCTGCAGAAAAAGGCCCCTGACTGCTCTGATTGGGCAAACAGGCCTTTTCTCCCTTTTATTGTGTTCTCTTGACACTTTTGTCGACCTTGAAAAGCTGGAAAAAATAAAATAAAATTTTGTAAAAATTTGTACAATAATGTTATAAAAAAAGTTTATAATCCTAGAAAATGTTGTGTTAATTCTTGTGCAAAAACAGTATATTCAGAATAAAAGTTTATCATTTAAAATCAAGAACAAGTCTGGATTTGTTGTCATCTTGAACAATAGCATGTAAGTATAGCCCCCCAGAAATTTCTGAACAATTATCTGTCTCTTTGAATTTGCTGCATAATTTTTCTGCAGAAGCTTAGGAGGAGATTTTAAAAACCACAAATGGAGGGTTAGGAGCCCAACTCCTATGAAAAATCAATAGGAGATGTTCAGCTAATGCCAGTTGTGCCTTCAGAAATCACCCTCGTAACTTTATGCTTTCATGAAAATAAAAGTCTCTACCTGCAAAACTTTTAGAAAGTTAAACCAAATGTAACATTGCAGGCTCTGTGCCTGAGTCTGCAAAGAGCCTGAAACAATCATGCTGAGAATTGTGATTGTCTACTCACTCTGCCCAGGCTTACACTGATAAGATCTCAGAGAATTGCAGTTGTATATTTGAACTGTGAGTGAGAGAAACTGGGAAGAACTCAAAACAGGTCCTCTAGTCCATATAACACCACAGAGTATCAGGCCCACTGCATGTAAGATTGCTGGACAGCACATGATACTGCAGATCAGCAGGTCACAAGCATCAACCGTAGCAAACATTTCAGTGTAACTGTACTATTGTCATTGTATTGCTAGAATAACTTTGTCATGTTGTGCTGCATGCTGAATGCCATGAGGATGAGGTACAAATAAAAAACAAAATTCTGTTCCTAAATTTCATAGAGCTCCTGATACAAGTTTTTAGTTTAAATTGTAGTGTTACCTCCTGCAGTCTTTCTGAAGTATTGTACATCTATCGAACATTAATGACAAAATATTCTGTTTCCAGGTTCTGCCCACAAATCTGTCTTCTGGGGTCTAATGTGATAATGGGTA